AACAATAGTTGCAGACACAACAGTTACAGATACAGCAGTCATGAACACAGAATCAAGATTGAAAGAGATCAGCCACACATGTGCAAAAGCTAACAAGTTACTTTTAAATTAAACAATTCAATTAAAAAGAATACAAGACTCACTAGTTAAGAAATTAAGTCTTAAGATAAGAATATGAGTTCTTGTACATAATGAGAGTTCTGAGAAGTTTCAATCTAGATGATTTGAGCTCTATAAAATACTTAAATCACATTCTCTGAGAATATACACATTGAAAGAATCAGAGAGACAAATCTTATATAACTTAATAAATGATTCATATCTTATAAAGATAAAGATGCAAGATCTGAGCAGATTATAATTATTTACAGAACTATCATCAGTGTTGAAAAAGAAGAGACTTATAATTAAAAAGTCTTACAAAGTAACAGAAATCATAGATGCTTATGAATCAGATAATCTTACTTATTTCAATCTTTTCATAATTATAAGAAAAGAATAAGAAGTAATGAAGAAATCAGATAAATATCATACTTTAATAAGTGATGAGACTGTAGTCAGTTGTATAATAACACACTGCAGATAGTAGATACAATGTAGTAAAGAGTAGTCTTAAAATAGCAGACTTACATATGAATCAGATCATAGAAGAAAAAGGAATTCAGAGTTGAATTTAACTGTTTACACTAGTTCAATTACAGAGATAACAGAGAATGAATCATCTGAAACATTCACAGATGTATAGAATTAAGTTATCTCAATCTCTGAGAACACTCAGAGATCAGATGAGATTAGTTTCAATAAGCTATTCACTGTAGTGATCTGAGCAGGTGAAGAGAGACAGTATAATACATAAGACAGAATTATAAAAGATGAAAGCTGTTAAATCTAGTCACTGAATACTGTATCATATAGAGATTACATAAGAGTAGTAACTAGCAGACAGAGAAAAAGTGTAAGAAAAGAAAAGAGATAATGAATTAGTCATCAATTAGAAGAATCAGCTGTAAAAGATAAATGTTATCATATATATCTCATTCATTTTTATATATTATATATTTAATCTATTTCCAACATCATGTCATCTGAAAAACATCAAAAACAAAGAAAATCTCAAAACTTAAGATTTACAAGAAATTCAAGAGCTGTAAGTTACTTTTATAATAACACTGTACATGTCTCTGATTTCTCTATCACTCTGTATATGATATTAATATCATTTATCACAAGATTGACTGAAATACCAATATAGAAATGTGTACACATATATGTAGAAAAATTGAAGAAGAGCATGAAATCTGCAGAATCAGAAGCCAGAACAGAGAGAACAGAGACAGAAGAAATGAAAGAAGAAGAAGACACAGAATCAGATAAATGACAGCAGATGTTATCTGAGACTGAATACTTATAATCTGATATGCACACAATCTTCTCTGCAGAAGAGAGAGAGAAAGCACTGAGAGAAGCTTGAGAGTGAGAGAAGATAGTCTCAGTGATATTATTATCTTTAATTAAAATGATCTCTGATGCCAGAGTAACTAAGAACTATTATTAGCATATAAAACTGTAAAAACAAGAGTAACAATTACTGAATGAATACTCACTGATCTTAGAATTATATATACAATTACAATATGCATGAGACTTCTCAGAAAGAGAGAGAGAAATACAGAGAAATACAGAAAGTAGAACACAGCATGTGAACAGCTCATTTTTATAATAACATCTTAGATAAGATGTATGAGTCTCATGTCTGTGAGTGTAAAAGAGTACAACATCTGCATTTCTATTTCTGAAAACACAGATATCTTTTGCCTGCATCACAAAGTTAGATAATAAATATCAGAGAATAGACTGATACAGATCTATCATTCTGAAGAAATTCATCAGAGTAAATATCTCTATAATATTAAACTTTACAGTTGTAAAAAGTTTCTTGATATCTATAAACATCACAACTTCATGTATAATAAAACTTATAATGATTTTCTCTAAGAACAGAAAAATCAGCATCAGAAAGAGAAGATAAAAAAAAAAAAAAAGACTTATAATCTTGACACTGTTGAGAAGAGAGGTGATTCTTTGATATAAATAAACAATTATCTTATCATGAATATTTAAAATAAATGTAATAATCAGTGTCTGTGACTGAGCTTCAGATAGTCATATTATATACAGTCTTCATATAATAAATTATTTTATAAGTCAGTAAGAAGAATAGAAGTATACACACTGAAAAATATAGTTCATTAAGTCTACACAATATCTTCTTGAAACAGAGAGAGCTGATAATGAAAGCAGAGACAGCAGAAGCAGAGAGAGTAGAAGTAGTAGAAATAAGAGTCACAGAAACAAAGATAGCAGAAGCAGGAGAATCAGATACAGAGACAGATATAGAAGATTGAGAAGAAGCAGTAGAGAAAGAAACAGAGAGAGTAGAGAGAGATATAGAAGACTCAGTCATATATAGTACAGATAATTTCTTTATTATCACATCTCTTAAGTTCTCAATTAATAATTCAACATTGAGATTACAATTATTGATAAATGCAGATCTGTCAACATGTGAAGATTCTATATAAATTAAAATAAAATATCAGTATCTGTATTCATGCAAAACACAATCAGATATCTGTTAGAAAAAGAAGATAGAGAGTATATAAGAAGATGAAGAAGATGTGTCATCTATAATAGTATATTCTGATAATTGTTAGAGAATAAACAAGTTCTGATCATATTCTATAACACATTACACTCACTGTTAATAAACTGCTCAGTATGAGCACTATGATAACACTTGTTATAAGAATGAGAGATTATTGTCAAAAACATGTAAGATGTGATAGATGAATAGATAGAAAGTGTTAAATAGAAGAAGAAGTAGAAATCTTGAATAAGATGATAATATTTAATGATAATGATAATGAAGAAGATGATTGAAGAATGAAAAAAGTTAGTGAATAAGTAATATAATATAGTGAAAGTTTCTTTATAAGAGTATACACAGAATACTAGCTGAATCAGAAATAGACTACACTATTATGAACACTAGTGACATGCTAATCTGCATGAAGCTAGAATATACATTATAGTTACATGAGCGTGACTGAATCTGATGAGAGAGAATGTGATTTGAAAGAACATACAATTATCAGATAATAACACAGTCACTTCTGAACATGCTTATAAATGTAAAGAAGCTCTAGCAGTCACTAATTAATTTAGATAACATATATAAGAAGCCGGCGTACGCCTGTAATTGTATACTGACTTAAGTAACCTTTGAATCACATCTGAAACAGCAGTTCTTGACTGATGAGAACTACTTCTGAAAAGAGAGAGCTAATGTGATGAGCTGTACTTGATCAATTATATAGACTATTCTATTACACTTCACAGATTTTAATCACTTCATTCTTGAACACATATGCTCTGATTCTCAGTCATTCTTGATTACTGATTCTCAGTCACTATAAATATATATAGATTCTTTCACTCTGAAGCTTCACTGCATACATCATCATATACACATATAAATATTCACTTTAATCACTGATTCTCACACTTTCTCTTTCTTTTCCTTCTCTAACATTTTTCTCTTTATTATATAAGACCTATATATTATACTGATCTATTCGGCGTAGGCCTCTTACATTAATTAAATGTAAAAAAAAAATATTCTCATCTATAATTCAGCTGAAACTAGAACATGATTATTTCAAATCTTATATACAAAGATTTAATAATAGATTTGATTCAATAGAATGCTCATTCTACAATACAAATAAAAATTCTGAGTATATTGTAATATACTATGTATTATACAATAGTCTCAGAGTCAGATTGAAAGAGAAGTATAATTTAAATTAATTAAATATAAGATTCTTATTCTTAACTGAGATAGAAATTAAATACTTAATAGACTTTCTATCAGAAACTCAAGCAGCTATAAGAAAATAATAAAATTCAGAAATATCTAAATATGAAGAGAAGAAAATTAATTAGATATAGTCTGTTAATACAGCTATATACTATCTTTTAATAATTTATTTTATTATAGTCTCTCTTTACTTTACTTTTTTCTTTCTATTCTTTTCTATCTATTTATTTAATATGTCTATCTTTAAGACTATGTTCTCTTTTCTTTTGTCATGATATTATCAAATGATTTCAAAGTATCAGAAGGTGTTAAAATACTGTAATTTATAAACAGTTTTTATATTCTGAGCTGGAATTTTCTGATTTTACATATCTGAAATTGGTAAATGTATAATAGACTTAATAGTTGACTTTATAGATATAGAAAAAACTCTGAGAACTAAAAGTTCTCAGATAGATATCATAGTCTCTGACTGCATACATCTATAATTGAAGAAGAATAATAATAATAATAATAATAAAGAGAAAATAGAGTAATAACAAGTTCTTGAAATATAAGAACTTGAAAAAGTCAGTAAAATTCTTGAAAAACAGTATCTGATTGAGATGAATGAAGAAGTTCTGTTAATTCTTCATACTCAGACTAGATAACTACAGAAGATAATTAAGTTTAAACTTGAAATTTTAAATACAGTTTAAAAAACATTGAAAATTTCTAGTATAGTTACTAACTCTTCTTCTTCTTTTTCTTCTTTAAATCAGAAAAAAAAAATACACTTAAGTAGCAGAATCTGCTGTTTCTAAACCTGCTGTTTTAAAATCTGCTCAAAATTCTGAAAATACTCAGAAGAAAAATGCTCATACTTCTCTTCATAAGAAAGAAAAAATTCTGCAATTTATAAAAGGTTTTTGTATTCTGAGCTGAAATTTTCTAATTTTATATATCTGAAACTGACAAATGTATAATAATTAGCTTTACAGATACTAGAGAAACCCTGAGAACTAAAAGTTTTCAGGTAGATATCATAGTCTCTGACTGTATACATTTATAATGAAAGAATAATAATAATAATAATAACTACTTCTTTAGTAGTTTATTCATTTTTACTGGTTCTTTTATTTCTATCTTATCTTCTAATTCTTGTCAGTCTTCTGTGAAATTGTCAGCAGATGACACTCTTAATCTTGTATGTAGATCTCATTTCCTAGTTATACAGCTGCTCTGCTGGATTGCAAATGTCTACTCAGGCAGAGACTCAGAGTGGTGGCTAAGGGGGATGTTGAATTGCCTCCCTTGCAGGCCAACTGCTTCCGCCTCACGCTTGCTGATCGGCGATCGCAAGCTCCCTATAAAAGGCCACGTAGCAGCTAGCTTCTCATAATAACAACCAACTACTCTAAGAACATCTCCATCATTACAGTTGCACAGTGATATTACAGGGTGCACTCACTAGAGAGAGTGAGTGCGCTTGGCAGGGTTACCTTTTAGTTTGTTTCTCATTTTACACCTACAGAAAAACGAATAAAAACAGGGAAAAAAAGATAGAACAAAACAAACATAGCTATTGATGGCGGATGGTAGGAAAGCAAACTGGAAAGAAAAAGTGAAAAAGAGCTGAAGGAAACGTTAGAGGAGGAAAAAGAAGAAAATGAAGGGCGTGTTAAAAACAATCCAGTGAAATAATTAAGGATATAATAAATAAGTAAGACTTGCTGAAGGACATTACGGGGAAAATTGAAACTTTGCTCGCCATATATTTTGTGTCGCTAGCTCGGGCTCCTTCCGTTCCGTCTTTCCTTCTACTCTTCTGTAAAAATATTACGAGCAAAAATTGGTTAAGGAAAAATGTGTCGGACCAAAGCACAGTCATCGCCAGAGCCGGGGGAAAAGAAGAGAGGTGGAGTAGCTCCAGCGAGGGCAAGTGACAAAAAGTAAAGCGGAATAAAGTGGAAAAGGCAGAGGAAAAGGAAGGAAATGAAATGAATACACACACATAAGAAAAGAGTTATAAAGGGATATCGGTAAGGAGACTTGCGGTAAAAGTATGGCCTGGAGATGGAAGAAGAAAAGGAGAAGTTGCGTGCTTGGGTTCTAGAAAAGGCCCAATTGCTCGTCGCTCGGGTGTAGTCAACGAGTACTTGCATCCAACGAGGAAGGTGATACAAGGTGGGTAATAGAAATTCCTCCGACAAAAGGCTGAGTTAGGTGGCTACCTGGGCAATAATCGCCATTGAAAAGGCTTTAGTTATAGCCGTTCATGGTCATTCTTTGAGAGTTCCTGCTCAATTCCCGGTCTGCGGAGGGGCTAATGGGTCGGCTGCCACCTGAATGCGCCGTGGCGCTGCTCTCCTTCAATGCCAGCAGCTGTTTCGCGCGGAAGGTCTCGTAGTGGATCTGGCTGGTGGTCTCGATTAGGTCCTGGAGGTGGGTGCGCGTGAGGAAATTGCGGAGGTAGACAAATTCGCAATGGTTCTCGTCTTCGACGTTTATCACGCCCCAGCGGTTCTGGCGGCCGCGGACTTGCTTACCACCGACGATGATGGATTTTTCGCTTCCGACAACCGCGAAAGGGATGATGTCCTGCACGTTGTGTTAGATGGCGGGTTTTTCTTTGAGTAAAATGTAAGTAGATTTACCTTGATTTGAGCGTTAACAGCTCGCTCCTCGTCATCCAATTCATCGTTATCATAGGGGTACATCTTGAGATTGTGGAAGGCAAACTCCTCCTTGATTCTCTCCTTGAAAGCCAATCGCTCTTCTAGGGTCAAAGAGTCGGATTTGGCAATGACAGGCACAACATTGACAACATCGGAAAGTTTCTTCAGGACGACGATATCAATTGGTTTCAGGCTGATTTTACTGTTAGTATTGCTGTGCTGAAAAGGCATTGAGAAATAGCTACGTACGCATGTCCAGAGGGCTGGATAAAGAAGAGGCAGCAATGGATACGTGTATCCTGAATATAGCGCTCACGCTGAGCAGTAAGCTCCTTTCTGAGATAGGCGGAGTGCTGATCCTTGATATACTTGACAATTGGGTCCCAGCTGCAGAGATATCAATCAGCAAGTAATTCGCAACATTATTCGTCCCATGTTTCGCGTGCTTCGCATACCATCTATCATTGTTGACCTGGTCCCCATAGCCGGGGGTGTCGACAATGTTCAATCGTAGACGCACGCCGTTCTCTTCAATTACTGTTGGGGGAGAGATAGAATAAGTATTTACATATTTATTTATATAAGATTTTTGTGCTTGGAGAGGGGAGAACGTACTATGGGAGACAGCTTGAATTTCGGTGGTTGAACGCACAGGCTCATCTGGTCTCAAGCGACCCTTGGAATCGATCAGGTGGGAGGCGAAGATGGTATTGATCAAGGTCGATTTGCCCAGTCCGGTTTGGCCTAAAGATATCGCCGATATTCAGTATTTAATGTCCATTATAAGGGTTGGAATTGAACTTTCTAGGCCGTGGCCAGCGCGAAACCCGGATTCATGTAGAGGGGGAGGGACAGTCTGAACAAAGGTATGGCACCGCACGTACCAACGCAGATGACGTTGAATTGAAAGCCACGCTTCAGTAGTTTCCGCTCGATCTGCGAGGTGATACTATCAAAACCAACATGGCTTCTGGGGAAGACGGTGTTCTGTGGAGAAGCTGGGGATTGTGGTGAAGCCATAATAAGAGCGAGGAGGAAGACAACAACAGCAGATCAAGAACAACACAGAGAGAGGTGTAGTAAAGAGGAGAATCAAAGAGTGAAGGAGAACGACAACAGCCGGGAAAAGATGAGCGGGAACAGCAGCTGGGGGGGGGATCGAAGAGGGAGCAGAAGCAGACACAGGAGATAGAGAGAAGCAACAGCAGTAGTTAGGAACAACACGCCCCTTATTATTTTCTGGATTGTTTGAGCGTTGGTCAGGGGGAACCAGCGCTAGGCTTCTTTGGGACTAGCGAGTCACTGTAGCTCTTTCTCCTCCACTCGACTCGGGCCTCATTTTTGCTCAAACTATTTTATTTCAACCAATTCGGCCGGACAACCCATCACCACCACCCAATTTAGCTCTCCATCACGATATACGTCTCCTCCATAGGTTATTATACCGGCCCGCCCTCCGTGGACTTTATATACACGCCTGCGCTCCCCCTCCCCGGTCACCTTGGGGCCCCCAAACACACCACCGCAAGATGTCGTCCCTCCCAATAGCGTTCTCCTCCGCCTCGATGATCTCCCGGCTCTTTCCCCGACTCTCCCTCCAATTCCCACACACAACAAGCCAATTGCTACGATATACCCATACCCCGAACTCCTTCCTGGTAGCCGCTGTAGCCGCTCCCGCAGCCATCACCCTCGGAATTCCCGCGATCCTCTCTGATATCTGGGACTCGGTCCTGCGCGCCGTGCCCAAGAAGAAGACCTCCCATATGAAGAAGAGACATAGACAAATGGCCGGAAAGGCTTTGAAGGACCGCCTAGATCTGAATACCTGTTCGAGCTGTGGGCAGACTAAAAGGGCGCATTTGTTGTGTCCGACTTGCGTCAGCGGTGAGTTTTATTGGCTCCGTTGATATATACCTTGGATGAGTGTGCCTTTGACTAACGGGCTGGTGGCCCTGAAGAAATAAGACAGGAATGGAGAGATGCGGAAAAGAAGACGGCTCAAAGCTCGTGAATTTCTTTTTCTACGCTCTGTTGTATATCATGCTTTTTGGGAAGGTAAAATGCGCTGTACCATAACGCCCCGCGCAAAGGAATATATAAAGAGTGGGTTTTCTGTGGGCATAGCATTTGGCGTTTTGGATTTGATATCACGATACAATTGTATTTTTATTTTATATCTTTTTCTCTATCTATCTATTACTTTTCCAGCTACTCGCCTCGGTGTCTATAAACTCTTGGTAATATTGCAACGGAAAGCCAATCGACCATAGATTTCTAGATATTTAACTGTAAAGAAATATCACTACGTTTAAATTTGATGAAGGTGTAATGTAATATTAACAGTGATATAATAGCAAATACATACTTATCTTTTGTAATCGAAAAAAAGAAAAAAAAATCATTGTCGTACCTAGCGGATCCGAACCCCCCAACTAAATATCAGCAAAAACTCTCGAAGCCTCTCACTGACGTCTTTGGGTCAAACTTGGTATAGAACAACAATTCCACACCTCACAACAAGCAAAACCACACCACATCACCATGATAGAACACATCTCAAGCCCATAAACATGGTAGGCCATCCTCCAAAGTCTAATACATAAATCATTCAATCAAACATAAATCCCGTCTAATACACAGCGTGGGGGTAAAAAAATAGTCAAAGCAATATTTGACCCTACATACAATCGACAATGGTAAACCGCCCCCCCCATCCGCTCCTAAATATCAAAACCCAACATCAAGAAATACATTTATATATATATGTATAAAAGTATCCAGCTAAAAGAAGTACATCGACAGCTCACCCCGTCGAGATATTCTCTCTCGCCTTAACCCCGAGCCAACTGATATCCTGCTCGGGCGCATCTTCGCTCAAAGTCCACTCCACCGCCGAGACAGATTTCCCCCTAGCCCAGTCCATCGACGGCGCGCACAAGATTGGCTGCCACCACCTAGCTGCAAGCAGGGATGGCACAAGGCTTGTGAGCGTTGGGTTTGGAGGGGAGGTTAAGGTGTGGTCTTCCGTTGCGGGCGGGGTGTGGGTCGCGGATGAGGGGGTTGGTGGAGCGACTGGTGGGAAGGGCGGTATGTATTAAACCAGTCTAGCTTTTACTTTTATGCCTCCCCTTCTTTAGAGATGAATAGAAAGGCATTTGATTTGGGATTTGATACATATGGAACAGAGAATTCGGGCTAATTGTATATATGCAACGCAGACACCAAGCGGAAAGTCAGCGAGATATGGGCCGCCGCACTCTCTTCGGATGGCGAGTATCTCGCCGGCACGACGCTGGATGGACATATTAAAGTCTGGCACCTGGATGGGACCGGGGAGGATAGTAAGGTGTCTCAGATCCGCGACCTGGAGACGAAGGGTAGCTTTGGCATGTGTATTGACCTGGTGCGTTTTAAAAGTTCTGGAATTATATTTGACGGCGATGACCGTCTACGTTTTGCATTCCCCTCCCTCTCCCTACTCTGTCCTCTCCGTATATATCCCCAGATCCCCGTCGAGGTTATAACGCTCACACGTTTTTGTCGTCAATGGCATCCCCATCTCTAGTCGGCAGACGGCAGCCTGACAGCATCCGGCCACCAAAATGGGAACGTCTATATCTTCCTCAATGAGACGGGGCGGATGATACATTCTCTGTCCGGTACGTGAAATAGAAACCCCTTTTCTACCTATTTGATGAGTTAACCATGACATAACTCCCTCTTCCCTTATCACTAAAAGAAACGAAAGAAAGCTAGCTAACAAGATTTGCGAACAATACAGGCCTAGTCTTACCTGTCCGAGCCGTAACTTTCTCGCCGGGAGGAAAACTGCTCGCAGCAGCGGGCGACTCCAGAGTAATTCAGCTCTATGAAACGTCCTCTGGCGAGCAGGTAGCTACATTAACGGGGCATACGTCCTGGATTACCTCTCTGGACTGGAGTCATACCGGAGAATTTCTTTTGAGCTCGTAGGTTCCTTACCTCCTTTCTTTGTTATCTAGGACGTTCCACCCCACTATCCTTTGCTATTTTATAGCTATCAGATTGTCATCCTACTCCAGACACATCCTGCTCTCATTATTGTTAACCTTAACACTTTGAACCGGCAGATCCCTCGATGGCAGGGTTAAAGTGTGGTCGATTGAACGGAGGGCGTGTGTGGCGACGCACTCTGAGTCGGATGTGGCTATATGGAGTGCGAAGTGGTTGCCAAAAGTTGGAGCGACGGCTGAGAAGTTTGTCACGGCGAATGCTAAGGGGCGTATCACTTTTTATCGGGAGGCTACAGGGGGATGAGAATGAAAAATATAAATGGAAGGGACGGGATGAAGGGTATTTCGTACGAGATGAGGGGGTGGAGATTCATCGAGTACGACGTTGATATTAAAATGCTGCTCCGGTTTGGAGGTGAGGCGACAGAATAAGAATTAATAGGGGGAATTGTTCAGTCCTTGGTCATGTTTTAATGAGACACAACAAATATATAGACATGCAAAGGGGAAGAAGCCCCGAGTCGTTAATAATAAACGAAATATAGTCATTAAACCATTCCCTCAAACACCCATCCAACAATAATCATCAAAGAAGAAAGAAGACAAACATGCCCAATGTACAGAATCCCCTCACTTCAAAGCCGCCACAAACAACCTCCTCATCCTCTTCAAAAAAGCCCCAAAATCCCTATCATCGTTCACAACCATCAACTCCTGCTCCACCGCCTCCCTCTCTAGCTTCGGCCGGCAATGGAAAACTTCATAATCCCTACTCGCCGTTCCCAGCTCAAACCACGCCTCCCGCTCCCAATCCTTCTCCACTAAATGCGTGTAGACAATCCGAAGCCGATCCTCGCGCCCAGCCCCTTCAATACGCAGACACAGGTAATCTTGCCAGAACTCCAGCTCGGGCGTATTCAGGCGCGCCTGGGCATCGAGGTTTCTGGCGTGCGCCTTCTGGGCTTCTAGGCGCTGGTTGATGGTCTTTTGGGTCTCGTCTATTTGTTGCTTGAAGCGGTCGCGGGTGGCGAGGCGGGCGTCGCGTTGGGCGGTGATGGCAGTGATGGCTTCGTGCATCTCGGCAGCTTCTGCGGCTTCCTTTTGTAAGGTCTGCGCGTGGGTTTGGGATTTGAGGTCGAGGATTTCGATATCTTTTTGTTTTAGGCGGCGGTCCTCTGTAAATATAGGAATAATGGGTCATAGTATTAGTATTATTACTTTTTAATTTTAATTTTTGTTACAGTGAGAGAATCGCAAAATAGAATTAAAAGACTTATTTATATTCCTGAAAATAAAAATTGAAAGGCTTGGAAGTTTGGATGTGTCAAATAACCCAAACATGAAATCATACCTTGCAGCTCAGCTAGGTTCACGCGGAATTGATTTCTCTCCTCAAGAACTTGCTTCCTGCCCCTTTCTATAAAGCTGTCGAACTTGGCCGTGAACTGTGCCATGCGGGTGCGTAGATCCTCGAAGCCGAAGTTGATGCTGGGTAGCTGGTCCGCCATTGACGGGGCATCTGCCGACGATAGCGGCGGGCGCATGCCACTTGTAGATAGTGATGGTTCGAAGGGCATCGACATTGTTGCAGATAGCCTTGCGACGTATGTGTGATATGACAATAGTGCTTGCGAGTTGGCGTTGAGCGAGGTGTATATCTATATCGAATGGGAGGGTTCACTTTTCGCGTTCATGACGATTTGCCGGACTGGTTGCGGCAGCAACGGGCGACCGACGCTAACTCAATCGGGCGGTTAGCTCGGCCTGCGCAAAAAACGTCCATTTAATTTATTGTTTTTTCTTGCGTCTGACATCTACCAATTTTCTACTCCGTACACACTCGCGTGGGATTGCGTCTGATGTCCTGATGCACCTTACATTAACGAGCTTGTCAAAAAGCTTTAATTGCGGACTGATCTAATTGGCCCGATATGATGTCCCGCATACCAGAAGCCCACGTTAGATGCAAACCAAATGGGTGACCATCGAACAAACACCCTGCAATACGGGCATTTGGGCAGTGCTACTTATCTACCCGATATACAAGTATGGGAATTTTCACGCAAGATCGATAAAGGTAAATCCAATAGCCATTTTCATTTTCGTATATGCCTACTTTCATTATGGCTAATATGTTACTTCTGCAAACACAATAGAGCCTTCTCTCGTGTTCTACGGCCATGTTAAATGCGCCTTCCCAGCTCCAGCAACACCCGGCGCTCGGATTGAAATCCAGGATAGCGACAGGCTGTTAACCAACAAAGATGAAGATGCTTTGCTGAAAGTTAGGCCGGAGCTGGCTCCGGGTTTGGGCCTCCTTCGCCGACATGAGGCTTCATCTCGGGCTATCACCGCTGCAGTGGCCAAGTTTGACCCTCAAGTTTCCAACCTCCTGGCCATTGGGAATGCGATCAACCTTGACCGACGTGGCGGCAGAGGTGATTCCACTGTTCCAATAGCAGTTCTTGTCTGTGGTGACTCCGCTGCGTCTATTCAGCTTGTGGAATTGGATGATGAGGGAATCGCATGGCCCCCGGACAGTGATGGCCTGGTGAAAGTCCCTACTCTCCACAGCCGGCAGAAGGCACTGTGGATGGGGACTGCTGGGCCTGTGCAACAAATATGTTTTGCGGAAACTGTGGATGAAAAGAGTACATGGTTGGCCGTGCGATTTTTACAGTCCAGTATTGTCTTCCGCCCTCAGCGGAACAAGCTTCCAATTTCTGTCCACTATGACGATATGGATTTCATGCGAGAAAACCTAGAAGATACTCGTTTAGATGCTAACCCGGTTCTGGAAATTCCCATCTCCAGCACCGGTGGAGTCCCGCATGCTGACATCACATTTAATCCATGGTATCAACAACAGATAGCGGTTGTCGATCGCTTGGGGAATTGGACTATTTGGGATATAGGGAAGCAACGCCAGAGCACTTATTGGCACGCAGACCCCGGTCCATCTGGTAGGTTGGACGGTGAACGCACCAAAAGAGATCATTACGATGGATGGGCTGCGATTTCATGGGTGGGAAATGTTCATAAGTTGCTGGTCTGCGATAGGCGGAATATTGCTTTGTATCGAATAGAGACTGATCCCATGCAGCACTACGCCGTTGACGTTAACATTCAGCAGGAGTCTGAGTGGATTCTGGACATTAAAAGGAGCCAGTCGAATCTTTCAAATATATTTGTTCTCACAACGACGCAAATACTTTGGCTACATGTTAATTCCGATGATTTCTCATCGTCCAGCCAGCGAGGAGATGGCCAGGAAATAACCGTTCTACTCTCTTGGCGCCATTTCAGGGACCCAGAAGATACCAGCCTTCAATTGGCTCCAGTGCTGATCCAAAATTGTACTACTTTTCACCTCCCTTAAGCATGGATTTATTTCTCTATCACTGGTGTGCTAATATTAGTTGTAGCTTTGTCCCTCATTATATACTCGCAACTGAACAATATGGCACAAGTCTTCCGTTTTGCTTTTTCTCCAGACGACCCATCGATTCCATTATCAGTCGCCGATCCGTTCTTCCTTCCGCTGCCTACTAGTAACAACCGTGATCCGAAAGCGCTGGAACCTTCGCCAGAGGGCGTTTACTTTTCGTCTTTGATTTTTCAGCAAATTGTAAACTCCATCGTTACCGACCCCACCAATGGCAGCAAAACCCTCACCCTCGTCAAATTTATTGGCCAGCACTCTAATTTGGAAGTTATTGAGTCCTTATACGTGGCGAAGGCGGATGGTGGGGATGAAACTTACGAGCAGTTTAGCTCGACTCCCCCACAGGTGAAAACGGAGAAAAGTTCAAAGTTGGTTGATGATGATGATGATTTCATAGTGGATGATTTGAATGCGGTAGTACTGCCACCGTACGCGGGGAGGAGATATTGGAATAGAAGTCGAAATAGCCGGGAACAACTAATACGTGCTTCTCCCTATGGTGAGAACTGGGTTGATCTGTATGAGTTGGCTTCCTCCGCTGTTACTGAGCAAATAGGAAACAGAGGGAGGTCAACCATGTCTGAGAAGGGATCCCAAACGTTTAACAATTGGTTGGAGGACTTGACTGCCAACTTTGAGGAATTAGTCTTGGGTGATTCAGCATTATCATCGAACTCCAGAACAATGTTCGTGTATATCCCCTCTTTGAATTAAGCGATATAATCCTAACCTTGCTCAAACACAGGCTTGATATCCTCCCATCCTCTCCATTTTTGGATGACATTGATCGAAGTACTCACGATTTTGATCGATTTGTGACGCGTCTGGAGGATCCTGTGCAAAATATGCTACCCCTTGGATACGAAATCACTCATCTACCGATGTCATATTACCCACCCTCGAACATCTCAATACCCGATACTGGTTCCCGCAGGATGATACCCACTAACATCACTAAACTCTACGACTCCCTTGTCCGCGACTGGCTCTTCCCTCTCCCGGGCGACTTCCCAAACAAGATCCGAATGGCCAAAGAAAAAAACATACGAAACATCGTCATGCAACTGATACTCTCAAGAATCGTTCTAACTAGACGTTCGATTCCCGAACCACACGATCCTGGTCTCTGTCTCTCCGAGACTGCCGAAGAAGACCTTTCTTCTTCCCATCCGTCCTCGTCGGCCCCGTGGCCCAGCCAAGCACCATTATTTACTCAATCGCAAAACCCTACAGTTACCACCACCTCCTCTGGTGGACAGAAGGAGCTGGAGCAATCTAGCTTCTTACAACCATCGTCTCAAAATACAACCGCAACCACAGCTACAACCATGACCCCATACGCAACCCTCCGCCTCTACACCTCCTTAAAACAACCCGACCAACCCCGCCTCCCTCGCCGCATTTCTGACATCCTCTCACACTGGAAACTCGGCACAAACCCCTCAGCCTACGACTGGCAAGCGACGGTCCGCACGCTCCGTGACGAAGAGGAGCAGGAGACCGAAAGCCAATCGGCCAGTCGACGGCGAAAAAGACGCGAGGCGAGGCGGTTACAGAGACGTCAGCAGCAGCAATCGCAACAGAGCTATCTACCGTCTTCATCTGCTACTGCTACTGCTCCTGCTTCTACCCCCACTCTTGCTTCTGTTTCTTCTATTCCTACCCCTTCAGCTTCGCAGGTGCCGGTTGTGCGGATGTGGGGGAGTCAGCAACAGCAGCAGTCGAGCCGGGGGATGGGTCAAGGGTCATTTTTGGGACCGGGGACGGACAGGGGCGCGGTTACGAGCTCACAGATGATGGTATGGAGTAGCCAAGTTACGGAGGAAGCGGATGTGCCGATGACACAGGTTGAGAGTGGGGTGTTTGCGGGTAGAAACGCGAGTAGTAGGAGGGTTGCGAAGGAGAGGAAGAAGAAGAGGGCGGCCGGGTTTTAAGTCGGAAGCAGGATCTTTCATGGGTTAGTTACATTGGACGATTTTTTTTCTTTTTTTTCCTAAGGATCGGCGATTGTCGACCCCCTATTTGAGAGTGGTGTGAATTGCACACTTTTTTTCTTTTTCTCACCCTTGTCGTAGTTAATTACTATGTTGAATCCGCTTTATCGTTAACGATATAAACGTGCACAGTTAATCATTTCGTTAATCATTTCTAACCTATATGTATAAAAAACCCCATCCAAGAATATTTGCAAGTTGTCTTATTTCCACCTCTCGACTCATCACCGTATTAATCAACACGGGAGAATCCGTAGGCAGCCAGAGGCTAACGTGCCTAAAAGCAAGAACGCACCCAAGCAAGAAACAACCAGCAAGGAATACAAAGTAATGTAAAATCAATATAACCAATGCGGAAAAATAATATCAACAGGGAAAAACCCGCATGAATGTAAATACATAATGAAAGCCCTTCCTACCCGGGCATTTCCCCGCTTCCCAACCTCTCTCCATCCGCCCCCGCCTCCACCCCGCCGCCGGGCGTGGCTATCCCACCAACTCTCCTGTCCCAATCCGTTCCACCCGCCCACTCACCCACTCGCTCCTTTCTGGGGAAGTAAAGTCCTCGCAAAAATCACTTTAGGTCTCGGAACAAGGATTGTACGGCGCATATATAGGTGTGTGCGCGGGCGCTTTCGGCCGTGGGAGCGAGGACTTCCGGCGACAGGCCGTAAAGGATGGTAGTAATTATAACGATAATGAGCTTGAGAATACAGCTCTGTTGTACTATATATCCAAGGCTAGAAGCTATGCCATAAATTTATGTATGCATATGTAAGTAGTGAATATATGCATGGTTAGTGTGGGCCATGCATGTAAGTTATTGTATTTGACGTTTTCCCTTTGACCTGAAAGGGAAACGACGACTCCGTGAATTGGTCTTATATATATATATATATATGGATATAAGTTATCCAAAACCTGAACGGGACAATGGCCGAATTGATGCTATTGGCAGGTAAAGGAGGTGGTTTGATGTGGGGAGAAAATGGAGTGCGATATCTGTCACTGCAGAGCGAATTCTACCGTTCGTTCTCGTCGATCGTAAACAGCAGTTCCAAGTAATAAAGCTACCCAGCCAAGTTGTGGTTTTCGGTTTTCTCTTTCAGCCGTAGAAAAAAAAAAAAAAAAAAAAAAAAACCCAAGTCAGGTGAGTTCTCCCGGTCGCATTCATTTAGCGATGGCCGAATATGTCTATTTCATCAATGTCGCTTTCATCCTCCTCGTCTGTATCCTCTTGATGTTCGTCATCATCAGAGGCATCCGAGCCATCGATGCTTTCACTTTCATCTTCCAGTATTACCACTTCGTCATCGTCCTTTCCATCCCCAAATATCCCGAACGTAGGCCTGAAAGCTTTACTACCCCAAAAGTCGATGTCATCGTTATCGTTATTGGTTGCTGTGTTCTTATTCTCATCACTACGAGGATTCGAAATCGACCATACCGAATCGCTCCGGCGATGAAGGCCGAAATAATTCCCGATCACTGCAGGGACAGTTCGTGGAGGTATAGTGGAAAAGGATCGACGATAGCTTGCTGTTTGGTCCGCAGGCTGAGGGGTCCCAAGGCTGGGATTGGGATCGTTTGCCGGGACTGACCTTGACATAGTTGACAGCAGAGTACTTTCGGCCAGTGCTTGGGTGTCAGAGCTTTGCGGCAATCTGGTCAAGCGAATTGGTATGGAAATGTTACGGGATATGTCCCGGGCTCCATTGGTTTCATGACTGTGGGTGTTCTGATCATTGTGATCGCCAGCAGTGAGGAGACGTATCTGCATTGTGTTGTACGAGTAACATCTGCGACAATAGTCAGCAAAATAAGTTAATGAACAGTATATAAAAGGATATTGGCGTACATTTCGCATTTCAAACCCAACCAGTGGTAGTGAACAGCAGATTTCGCGGAACAGTCGTTGCAAGATATAAGAGCTCTTGTATCCCTAAAGTCCGGTGGCATTGGCTGGTCATTGATTGTACGATCTAGGCTTCTGAAGTGTGCCTCCATATTTGCAATAGTCTTGCTGCAAATAGGACATCGATAGGACGTTTTTGAGTATTGGGAAAAGCATTTCTGATGGATGCTATGGCCGCACTTCATGAATATGACAGTCTCTGGAGAGGTGAACATATATTCACCACAGATTGGACAGTCACACTGCGTTGATCTTTCGATACATCTATGGGTCTGCTGGATAGAGATAGGTATGCAGACAGAGCACGTCTAATTGGCCGTCAGTTAATTCTCAAACTTATCCAAATGAGAACAAGACATACCTTGCAGTGATAGTAATCCTTGCCAATACCTTGACCAATACGACAAATCCCGCAGTCATTGCAGTGGTAAATGCTTTTCTGGCTGTCGTTGTCCCAGAGCTTGCAAACCGAGCAGTAGTAACAAGCGGCCTGGACACCGCACGATTTACACCATTGCGCGACCGGTTGCGGAGTGCTACAAACCATGCAGAGCATGTTTTGAGTCGCTCTTCGAATTAAAACGTGATCTTCTGCTTGGTCGTGGCAAAATCTGCAAGGGTACCAGCACTTGCATGTGAAGCATTGAAGCTTTACTCTCCTCTTGTAATGTTGACAACCCAGTTGGAGATTATCCTCTTCCACTGCGTCGTCATTCGCGATTTCTTTCGGAAACGAAATGATGCTCTCAGCAGTAAGATCAGATGATGACTCATGTCGAGGTGCATAGCTAGGTCGTAGATCATCATCAGTGAGATGATAGGACAACTCGAGTGAAGCAGCAGACGTGACCGAGGTAGGAGTCGCGGTAAAGTGCCCTGAAGATCGTTTGCCATGCGAAACAGGAGTCCACGGCCGCTCTTGATCGCGAGAGCTTCCAGGCGAACGTGACTGGCCATACCTTTTGTTCAGAGATGAATTATAATTCTCCGTCATAAGGGCATGAATCAACCTGGCCTTTTCCGCATTAGAAACCTTTGCATCCCGAATATTGTGTATCCTTTCTCTCAAGGACTGCATTCCATCATCCTCCGGCAATGTTGATATGGCTTTCCCATTCCAGTTGAAATCGTTGACAACATATGGGTCACTCTGGCCGCCGCTCCTTTCGTCGAGATCTCTAGTTCGTTCCCTATCTTCTCTCCTAAGGTTCAACAGGGAATTGGACGAAGAATCCATAAGAACAGGCCCTGACCTTGGAGTTGGAGTTTGCCTGGCTCTATTATTTGAGTCCGCGGAATGCCGCCCAGCGGTACCGTCCATGTCTTCTAGGACCGCAGCATGCGATTCTACCGGAAAATGGAGAAGTGAGGGCGATAGCTGGCTCACACCAATCTCGGAACGAAGATCCGCGTAGGCGTTTTCATGATGAGGGGTAGTCGAGGAATGCGATACGTCCTCCGAGATAGCAATGGAAACCTCATTTTGGCTGGGTATGTGGCTTCCCTCAATCGAGCGATTAGGATCGGCCATGTCAGCACCAACTATCCCACCTCTAAGTTCCTCCGTTTCTGGGCCAGTTTGCTGGGTTTCTGGCCCCGCATCTGTAGGATCTGAGAGCGATCCTTGTAGTTGGCGGGCTCTCCGGAGCAGTGATTCGGACAAGTAAGAGGAAAAATAGCTGCTCATTAAGCAGAACGGCAAATAAAAGACACGCAGAGCAGTGTATTTATTATATAAGTATGTATATATCTCCAATTCTTCACATTTCCAGTCCAGTTGTGGATGTTGAGGTTGTGTGCTGGAGAGGAGGAAGGTGTAGGGCAAAAGTTGCGGCTGACGTCTGACACCAAGCACCTGACATGTGCAGCTATCCATTCCTAATTCGATGCAATGTACTCCGTACATGTACATACATTATTATATATAGCACACAAGATAAGAGCATTCTATAAATTTTAGGATTTACCTGGGCTTGGAATGCATTATTGCATTTGACGTGTTTATTTATTTTAATTCCCAGATTGGTTAGTCCATCTACGGAATTGGCTGGTAAATCTAGCTATAGGGTACGGTGCTACTTTTTGTCGCAACCGTCATGCTAGCAAAAGATAGAGAGAAAGGTATCTCTGTCGATGCACCTGCTAAAACTTGAGATTTTATTCATCCTTCATGTACTTGTGTCGTTAGACATCATACCCTTTTCAAATGCGCTCCAAATGCGCCTGACGCGCTGACATCGCGGCTTCCAATTCATTTCCATTGCAGATTTGAGGTGCAATTAGGTCTTTGGTAGCTTATTACAGAAATTGGATGGGCCGATGGGAGTAAATATCCAATTTATTTTCTCATTTAAGACATAGACCAAGGCTTTCATTAAGCATCTTCAAGGTCATCTCAAATGGCCTGTATGCGATAGCCCTCATTTGGGCACGTGCTCCGGTTTGGGTGCCAAAACTAGTGTGACTATTAGATATGGAGAAGGGGCAAATATCAACTCCTTCTGGGGAGAAACAAAATCTTACAACTTGGGGTCTCCCTCCGCAAGCTTATGTGGCTGCTGCCAGAATCTGACGTGCAGCAGATTTTTAACGATTTTGTGTTCAGTGCTCGTGGAGCTAGACGCAAGTCGAAGAAACTCAAGGGTGTTAACAACTCTCCGTGGATCGAACTCATTCGGCGTGCCATTTCGAAAAGATTTCCGAAGAGTCCAGAGGAGGACGTGACGTGCAGGGCTCGAATAGCGTACGGCTTGTAGGCCGGTCCGGTAGAGATGTCTATAAGCATGGAGGACGGCGACGTTAAGAGATTGGGCCTCGAGCGCAGCGACAGTAAGCAATATCTATGGCATAAAATGAGCACAATGTAGATAGTTAAAATATTTTTATAAAAGAAAGGGAGATATCGTTGGTATCGTACTAACTTTCGACATGGCCATGGCAGCAGTCGCAGGTGCATGCGTTCCAAACCAGTATCATTGCGGAAAGCAGCGGAGACGTTTATCTCAGGCCGAGAATAACATCAGCGGCACAGCGGTGGACCTCAATGAACTCGAAAAACGGTTATTTAATCCATCCAACTGCCTTGAGCTCCCTTCCTCGATACGGGAAAGCCTTGTTGTACCGAAGAGAGCTCAAGCAATAACGAGTCCCGCCAAAAATTGCTCCCTGCGATGTTGGCGTGCCAAGATATTTTAATCCCACGCTATTCCTAATACGACCTAAATCACGGTTTGAAGTCACGTGATCTGCGGGACAGCAACCTTGGAATCTTCCGGTTTAGGGCTCGCGTTAGCCCAACCTTGGAATCTTCCCAACCTCAACCTTCCGTCGTTCCCAGCCTCACACTCATCGCTCTGTCTCAACGCGACATCTGCCGTCGTTTCTGTCAACGACGGCGTCTTTACTGAGTTCAGAACATAGAATCTCTGCATGTCTATGATTATGCTAGATCTTATATCTGGATTTGTTGAGTCTCAGCGTTTGTTCATGCACAGTCCACACTGATGATCTAGGTTTCCCAAGTTTCTGTTTTTGTTCACAAATACTCTCGTGTGTTTCTGACACCGCCCATACCATTAGCGCTATAGTTGTGATGTGCACAGCTGTCGCAAGGAGTATGTGCTAGGCCACGAATTATAACCGGCACCGTGTGAATACCTTTCCTTGCGACAAATATGACGAGGGTCGTTGCTCGAGTCACGTCGGCGCAAGCCGCCATGCGGACTCGAAGCAGAGTCCTAAAACCCAAGAAACATAAAATTATTATGGAGAGCATTACCCAGGAAAAGAAGAAACTTCGCAGTGTTGTATGTGACTTGAGTTAGCAATATCGGACTTTTGAAAATGTCCTCTTTTAACACAGGACCACAGATTTCTTTCGAGGCCAAGGCTCCCCCTGGCTATACCTTTATACCTGCCGGCAACCCCAAGTTCACTAATGCATGCAAGGAGATGTGTCGGCAAGATGGGCTCCAAGTCTTTGCTGTTTCGGTTTGTTGGCTGTCCTCCGGCTTTTCTCGTTCCGGTTTGACTTTTGTGTTCTTTTCACTGACTGGTTGGGCTAGACAACACCTCATCAACGAATGCACGACCTTTCTCAACAAGTACATAGGATTGGTTATCACTTCCCTAGCGTCGTTGTGGCCACAATATGTATGGAACTGGGTCTATTTCTTTCGTCGACGGGGAAAGTTGTACCATACTCGTCCTCTCAATATCCTGTAAAGGGTCTTGGTCGGGAACGACGGGCTGATTCCGAGGTATCCCAAAATACAATCAATGTGGAGGCGAAGGATGCAATCAAGGATTTATTCCCTAGCATCCCGACGAAAGATTTGAACCGGATAATCAAAACGGCGTTCCAAAAGGTGTGTTAATTGCCACGCTGGGGTTCGTTGCTGACTCAATTTTTAGGGTAAACGCAAAGTCGGGACTGCCGTCGAATTGCCCCTCGCACGCCGTGTGCAATTAGCTGTTGTAGCTCATATTCGTCACGTCTATACTGACTACGATCGGCTACTCAGGATTACTTCCTTTCAAGATGCCAGGGCAGCAGTTGAAGAGCCAACTCTTGCCAAGCTTGTTCAATGGCGAGGTGATGATGAGAATGGCAAAACCGTTTTAGAAGATGTATTCCGAGAGGTTATCGTTATTTCCGATGACGAAGATGATGAAGATGAGAGTGACCTTGCCGACGAGGGCTTCTCCAGAGAGGGTCGACAATCGAGCGTTGAGATCGTGTCGAGTAGTGCCCTAGCAGGAGAGCTTCAAACAAGGCCTATGAATTATGGACACCTTCCTTCTGGTGACCGTGAGGCCGCCCAGGATTTTTCTGAAGATGAAGCTCCCTCTGGGTTCAGGTTCATACCCCAGCTTTCGCGAAAGAAAAGGACTGCGGACAAAAAGAGAGCCGATCGTAGGGGCTTTAGCCGATATGAAGCCTGGGATCGAGCTCGAGACCGGTACAAGGCTGGCGAATATTTACCTAATACTACTAGGCCTGATGATTGTGTGGTCGAACGCTATTCAGTTCCTCCTACCATGCAGGACACCTTGCAGGAAACGACCAGACTCAATAGCCACCACACACGACCACTTCTTGTCCATGTACCAATTCCCCCCGGAACGCGCACTGCACGGCCCAATGATTCTACTAACGAAGCACGCTTTAACCAACCTCTGAGCTCAACGGATCACCCACCATTGGATAGCCGCCCGTATTTTCTCGAACCGAATGTAAGTTAATTTGTCTAAGCTAACAATAAGACTAGTCCTCCTCTTCTCCCTATCTTTACTTAACCCTTGAAACTAACAGCAGCCAACCTACCATGGAACTAGAAATCTCGACCGGGACCACCTGATCGGATCCAGTTGGCTGATGGTGCTGTATTTGAGAGAGCCGACATCAACACATGGCCTGAACAGGAGAGAATAGTTCAACAACCGAAGCAGTTACCTCCTACGCTTGTATCCCCCAATTTACCAGAAACGCACACTGATGAAAGGAGATTCCGTATACCTACCGGAAATTTGCATCCCCCTTCCCGCCGTGGAGGGGATATCAGTGAGTATCAGGAGCAGCGCGTGCTCCCATCAATTGAAGGACCAGAGCTTCCTAGCCGTTTCAGAAACCAGGGAGTGGGACAACCGGACCTACTACCTCGAAAAAGGGTTCCAGATGACTTCCCACCGTACTACATGAAGCCAGCCAATCCTCCTATTGAGGAAGTCTCAGGCAAGATGAACGTAATTAACATTAACGAAGACAGACACATCTCACAAAAAAGACGAGTAGAATATAATACTATACGTGGGAGCTCTCCTATGGATAGAGGTCGAGACAGAGTTATTATATCCTTACCACAGGGGCCATACGATTTCCCAGCTTATCGTAAACCAGGCCTTTCGGATGTTTCATATTTTTACACGGAGCAGCAACAACTCTCATCAAATGAACGGAGTGAAGATCTGGGCCACCATCTTGAGCGAGTTCCACTTGGTACTAAAAGGCCTTTTGATCCTGTTCCCTCAAGTTCACACTTTTCTAGTGGTTTATCTGATCGTCCCGAACATGGACATCGATATGGAGCACCTGGTCTCCATGAGGCTCGTCACGGCCTTTCCAGCCGGAATCTTTTAGAATCTCCTCGCTTTGTTTCTGCATCTGATGAACCTAGTTTTAAGATGGTCAGGAATGACGGTCGACCCGTCAGACCTAACCATGTTCCCAGTTTCAATCATCCTCAACCTCAAATTTTTGACCATGAGGACTTTGTAAACCCAAGAGGTCCAAGTTCATTCAGGGATGCCAGCCGTCCAGTTTTTGTTACACAAGAACCGCCTATCAGGCGGAAGTTGCTTCCTGATGAAAATACTCGAATTTCCAGTCTTCACTCTCACGACTTTGTACGTCCTGTTAATTTGCAGGACGCAGATGGATCTATCAGCCATGAACCACAGGGGGGGCCAGCACGTCCAGCTAGCCCTCGTAAGACAAGATATGTACCCCGTGGTGCATTCAAGGCGTACGACCGAGTCCGAGCTGAATCTCAGGCGGATCGCCCGCATTCACCACAGCCCTTCACCTCCCGAGTAGCTCCAGTTCATGAGCCCAACGATACATTTTATATTGGTCCAAACTCCCCTCCCCGAACTGGCTGTTCAACTTTGAATCCTCCCCAACCTTCTTCGGTTTTATATGATTCGCGAGTAGTTCGGCTACCTATTGATGACGATGGACGGTATGCAATGCGCTGACAGGCTTATGTCCTAAAAATGAGATCTATTCCAGCGCCCAATCGATTAACATCGATCATGTTCTTTTCTTTTCCTTTCTTTTCCTTTCTTTCTTTTATTATTATTTTTTGTGCTGTTGTTTTGACCCACTGACGAAAACATTCGTTAGAAGGTACCCCGACGACGATGGCATGCAGCACCACGTGGTACTCCGAGACGGCGGCCTTAGATGGAGACCTCGTAGCTCGCCGCTATTATGAACGAATGTCCCACGAACGCCCAAGTATCGTTCTGGGTGAATAAATGAATCATTTTTGATTCAGCGCGACACGTTCATGAGCTGAGCATGCTTCTGCTGAATTTCTCTACCATATATCCTTTTTCCTTGAAAGAAAGAATTTAATCTTATAATCTCTGTATTTATTGAGTTGGTGTTGGGTTTGCCTTAATGCGGGAGGCCAGGCGGTGACGGGTTTACTACGATAATAGACGGGGTTGGAACTTTGAACGCATTGTTTGGTTTGGAGTTTTGTGGAGGAGTTTCTGTTACGCGCCGGCGGATTCCACCGGCTCCCTCGGACTAGTTCTGCATGTTTCCGCTCTTCTTGTTCCATATTGTTGTCTTTTTTACTTTTTGTGTCATTCTCTCCCCGCGGCAATGCTGTATAGTAGTTACTTGATACCCAATTGCCTCGGAGAGGGTTGACGTAATGCATGTACATACTGCCTTGAGACTCCAGTGGAGCCAATTTATATGGATTAATTAATCGCCTAGGAGATCCATTTGATTTTCTTTGTATGTACAGTGCTATTAACTGACATAAATGTTGGTGAGGTGATAGTTAGCATCTATCAAATGTTTAACTAGAGCAAACAAACTAGTTTTAAGAAACAAATATTACGATTCTTTAAAGATAGCTGGCTAAAGATATTGTATTGCTATGGTGATAGCGTGCAAGTAATCCCGGAGAGCAAGGCAAGGCATGAGATTGACCCTATCTATCCTCTCCCTCTGGTATTTCTGCCTCTGATCTGATGCCACATTCGTAAAAAGAAGGCAGGAAAACCCTCCCCATAGTTATCAGAACGTAGGGGATTCCACCTATTTCAAAATATGAAAAATAATCCAGCGCTCTCTCGCTCCCTCCACCGTCCGTCAACTGCAATGAAAGTCCCTCTTCACCTATAATCGTAACCTTTGTAATGTAACAAACCCCCACGCGCCGCTCCGTGTCGCCAAACCATCAACTACCAACACTACCAACCATGTGCCGCGGCGATATACCCCGATATGTCTCTTACCCCCACCTCCCCATACCTTTTTCTCCAAATATAATTGTCCATATTTAAACGTCCTTCTGCACACCATCAGCCTCGCCCTTAGTGACTGTCTTGCCTGTTTTCTTAATGGTGGCGAGCACGGTGTCGTATTCAAGCGAAGGTTCAGTGAGGACGGTTGCGGTCTGCGATTCGAGATTGACGGTGTAGGATTTGACGCCTGTGGTTTTTTTTTTGGGAGGGGGGGTTAGTTCTGGTTCTCTCTTTTTTTTTTTTTTTTTTTTTTTTTTTTTTTTTTTCTAGTTTTCTAGTTTTCTTCTTGGGTAGGTAGGTATCTTTCGGGGAGGGGATGCAGTATGTATATCTTCTTTGATTGAGGGGAATTGATTGAGAGGAAACCAGCTAGCTACCCCGCAGCGGAAAGCCACACAGAGAGAGACACGGGCTTACCGTCAAGTTTCTTGAGGACGCGCTCGATGGCGCCTGAGCAGCCGCCACAGCTCATGGTGACGTTAAATTTGTACTCGTGTTGTGTGTCGGTCATTGTTGCTTTCGTTTTGCTATCTTTTCTTCTTTGTCTTTTGTCTCTGGAGCGGGTGTCCGTAGTAGTAAGGTAAGAAGAAGAGTCGAGGAAAGATGAACGACAGAGGGGAGGCCAAAGGAAACGTAGGGGTGTTGTTATATTTATATTATACACAGGGATGGGATGGGGATGGGAGTAGTTAAATACTATGGAGGAGGTATCTGCTACACCGAAATTAATTAATCAATCCCCCTCCCTTCCCCCCCGCCGTCCGCCTGGTTAATATTTATCAGGCTTCTTGCCCATGCTTTGTTTGTTTTTCTGAAACATAATTAATTCCCTCTTTCTATTCCGTAATCCGTAATAACTTAAACGTAACTAGGGTTCAGCATCGTTCCAGTGATTCCAATTCGTTTATCCGATAGGCTTCGCCTGCTTCTCTTCTCTCTTCCTCTCTCTCTCACACTCACAAGCAACTTATCTCCCTTGGATAAACGAATTGGTAAGCAAAACACGCAAAAACACCGCAATGCCCGCATTGATATCTGAGGAAACACGCAATTATCTCGCAGAGAAGACTGGGGAACATTGTTCGGCCAAAGATCTTCCAACTAAATACCAAATATAAGCTGGTTATATTAGTCAGGCGGCCGAAATCACGTCATAGAAGCTCTCGGGTTGGTGGTATATATAAGGACAGTTGTTTGGCTGGTCAACCAGTTCTATATGCCTATAGTGAGAGAATATGGACAATATCAATGGTACAGTACAAAGAATCACTAGAGATTTGTATGTGTAACTCAGATATATTAAAAATGAATTATTGACTCTTAGAATGGCAGAATGACCAGCTGGCTATATATATACAACTTCTCTACTATGGAGAAATTCTCTAGATTGGTAGCGCTGCATGCAGCAGTGCTGTGGTTGTCAGTGATTGTAGATTTTTTTTGAAGTTATTATCCCAATAACTTTAAATTATTCAAATCCCAGGAGCTTGGACCAACTGGTAGGTAGTTAATATGTAACTACTGTACATACACGCATACAACTCCAAGTGCTTTGCAAAATTCACTTCACACTTCAACATAATTCAATTTATTCCTAATCACTCTGTATATATGACCAAATTGAAATTTCAATATTTGTCATTATTGACCTGACATTTTCACCACTGACTGACTGTCTATCTGTCTATGAGTGAGGAGTTGGCCAAATTTGTTTGATCATTGTCATGTCAAGTCAAACAAACTCTACCAGGTTCTTCATCCTGCCAGGTCTTTTCAGCTCGCACCTCTTTCTTTCTGACTAGGAGGGAACAAGGGGAAAAAGCGAAATAAAAGAGAGAATGCATCATCTTGAAACGGAAGAGACACACTCAAGGCAAGATAAGAAGAAAGCACATTTGGAAAACAACACCCAGTCCACAATGCGAGAGTCGGGAAGGGGAAAAGGCCGTCAATTTAAAATAAATATATAAAGAAAAAAAAGAAAAAGAAAAAGCGACAAGTAACCCACAACAACAAGCGCCGCCGTGTTACCTTACTCTCTCCTCCTCCACCCCCTGCTCCTCATCCTTCCACTCAGCGCGACACAACGGACACGTTACCACACAACGGCTTTGCCCTAGGCCACCTCTCAAGCACTGAGCCTCCCACCTGCTGAAACACGCCTTGTGCAGGTTTCCGCCACACTGCGCTTTGCACCAGACAAGTCCCCGCTGGCTAGTAATAGAACTGTCAACACCGTCGGTGTCTTCCCTGACCTCGACATACGGTTCCATGCAGATACCGCATTCTGCGTCGATGGTTTGCGGGTGACGGGTCATGGCCCATGGGCCCAGGGCACCGCTTGAATATTATAGATTTGAAATATTATCAATATAATTTATATTTTTTTTAAGTAATAGTAATAATTTCATAATATTTAATAAATAAATAAATCAGTCACATTATTAAATATAATACAGAATATTCAATTCAATTCAATTCAATTATATACTGTGAGTTTTAAAGATTATACAGAGCTGTTATACTATTACGTACAAAGTTTTCATGCTTTCTTATATCTATACCATCTTAAGTCTCTGATGACAGTCAGAGATGAAGCATTTAAACTATATATTCAAAATCAAATTATCTGCTAGATTAAACTGAGACAGAATATATTATTTAAGTTATTACTTTGATAAAATGTAAACTTCTTAAGCAGTTCTCAATATGTAAGAATAAGTACTTGCAGGTAATTATTCAGAGATTGACAGCTTAATGAAATATATACTAATAATTACTAGAAGTATTCACAGTAAAAAAATAAATGTAAAAATTAAATATATAATAGTATTTAAATTAAGTTATAAATAATAATTATAAACTTCAGTCTATATAATTGTATATAGACTGACTGCTGAGATCATGAATTTCACATTTAATCTCATTTAATCTGATCTTATACATTTCTTGATGTGAATTTCACTGAGACTAGTCATTAAAAAAACATGTAAAGTGACTATATATCAGATCTTAAAATGAAACCATGACTTGAAAAAAATAAGAAAGTGATTTCATTTGATCTCATTTAGTCTCATTCTTAGCATAAAGTTACTATTTTTAGACATTTTAAGGTTTTTTTTAGAATATTTTTAATTTTTTAAAAAGTAACACTTTTTAATATTACTTAAATGAGATTTAAAGTCATTTAAAGCAATAAAAATAATTTAAATTGAGAAGTGAAAATTATGATCTTATTTGAAAAATATGATAAGAGTAGACAGTAAGTCTCACTGAGACAGTATAAGACTACTATTTAATGTTAAAACTGTGTAATGAAATCAGTTGAATTGATAATAAGACTATTAAAAAATCTGGTTCTAGTCACAGACACAGTCACACAGTCAGTCTAATCATATATAATTAAGAGCTGTTAATTTTATTAATTATATAAGAAATTGAAATAAAGATAAAAAATCTGTACAAAGTGAGATTTCTTATATATTTTTCTCTTTTTAAAACTTCATCTGTGAAAGTTTTTTATTAAATAATTTTATAAAATCAGAGTTAGTATTATAAGAGTACTTATTAAAAACCCTTTATATTTATAAAAATTTTAATGAGAAAAAATTCTTTATTACTATAAAGAGAAAAGAAATCTGTTATTTAATTCTTTATTTTAAGATTTTATTAATTTATCTTAAAAATTAATTTTAGTTTATTAAATTATCTTTAAAAATCTAACCTAGTTACTGAACTAGTGTGAAAAAAATCAGGTGTTTTTAGACTGGCCGCTGAAATTATGAATTTCATATTTAATCTCATTTAATCTGATCTCATGCATTTCTTAGCATGAATTTCACTGAGACTAGTCATTAAAAAATTATGCAAAGTAACTATATATCAGATCTTAAAATGAAATCATGACTTGAAAAAAATGAGAAACTGATCTCATTTGATCTCATTTAGTCTCATTCTTGACATAAAGTTACTATTTTTAGACATTTTAAGGTTTTTTTTAAACTATTTTTAATTTTTTAAAAAGTAACACTTTTTGATAATACTCAAATGAGATTTAAAGTTATTTAAAGCAATAAAAATAATTTAAATTGAGAAGTGAAAATTATAATCTCATTTGAAAAATGTGATAAGAGTAGACAGTAAGTCTCACTGAGACAGTATAGAACTACTATCTAATGTTAAAACTGTGTAATAAGATCAGTTGAATTGATAATGAGACTATCAAAAAATCTGGTCCTCATCTCAGACACGGTCACACGGTCAGTCTAGGTGTTTTATATATAAAAGTCTTTTATTCTGTAGCGTGCGCCGCTACGTAGAGTTAGATATAAGGGTAAAAACACATCTGATTCTCTAAAAGATGAGAGATGAGTATACACCTCTATATATACAGTGATTGTTTTATAGAGATTAACTCTCATAGAAGAAGTAATCACATATGAAGAGAAGAACAGAGAGTCTGTAGAGAAGAAGCAGAAGCTCTCATAGAAGAAGTGATTACATATGAAGAAAAGAACAGAGAGAGAAGATAGAAGTAGAAGCTTCAGAAAACAGTAAGAGATAAAGTAAAAGCTAGAGTTGAATAGAGAATTGACTTACATAGAGAATAGAAGTATATCACAGTCTCTTTATCTGAAAGAATATATTCACAGAGAAGAAAAAATAACATTGAAAGAAAATAACAGATATCACAGATACTAGGCTTAAAAAGATAAACAGTGTTCAGAAGTACTAATTTATTTACATACACTGTAGATATTGTAGAAAGAGAAGACTGAGTGATAGAATTACTTTATTCATATAAAAAGTGATCAGATGTAAG